CAACTACTGGATCACTATGACATGGCCTTGGATGCACTGGAAGAAAATCAGAATGCAGATGTAATATACACAGACTTTGCAAAAGCATTTGACAAATGCGATCATGGCGTAATAGCCCATAAAATACGTTGCTAAAGGAATAACTGGGAAAGTGGGGAGAATGGATCTTCAACTTCCTAACAAATCGAACACAAAGAGTAGTGGTCAACAGAGTTTAAATCGGAGGCTGCCATAGTGAAGAGCTCTGTCCACAAGGCACAGTACTCGCCCCCATCTTATTCCTTATCCTTATCAGACATAAACAGAGATATACACCACAGCACCGTATCATCCTTTGCGGATGATACTAGGATCTGCATGAGGCTGTCATCTGCTGAGGACGCGGTTAACCTCCAAGAAGATATAAACAGTTTTCCAGTGGGCAACGGTAAACAATATGATGTCCAATGAGGACAAATTCCAACTACTCCGTTATGGAAAACTGAGGAGATAATAACTAAAAACAGAGTATACTACTGACTCCGGCCATACAATAGAGCGGAAAAATAATGTAAGGGACCTGGGAGTAGTAATGTCTGAGGATCTCACTTTCAAGGATCACAACAGTGCCACGATCGCACGTCCAAAGAAAATGATAGGATGGATAATGAGAACTTTCAAAAACGAGAGATGCCAAGCCATGATGATCCTTTTCAAATCACTTGTTCTCTCTGGGCTGGAATACTGCTGTACATTAGCATCTCCATACAAAGCAGGTGAAATCGCAGATCTAGAGAGTGAAACAGAGATCCTTTACTGCACGTATAAGTTCTGTCAAGCACCTTAACTACTGGGAACGCTTGGAAGCACTTGCTTGTACTCGTTGGAACGCAGGAGGCAGAGATATATCATAATCCACACTTGGAAAATCTTGGAAGGAATGGTCCCAAATCTGCACACAGAAATCACTCCCTACGAAAGTAAAAGACTGGGCAGGCGATGCACAAATGCCCCCAATAAAAAGTAGGGGCGCCATTGGTACACTAAGAGAAAACACCATAAGTGTCCGGGGCCCAAAACTGTTCAACAGCCTCCCATCAAGCATTAGGGGAATTGCCAATAAACCCCTGGCTGCCTTCAAGAGAGAGCTGGACAGATACCTAAAGTCAGTGCCGGATCAGCCGGGCTGTGGCTCGTACGTCGGACTGCGTGCGGCCAGCAGTAACAGCCTAGTTGATCAGGCCCTGATCCATCGGGAGGCCTGGTCATGGACCGGGTCGCGGGGGCGTTGATCCCCGGAATAACCTCCAGGTAACCTCCAGATAATGTGAGTAGTCACGAAAGCGCTTGGAATTTCTCTATTTTTCAGAGTGGTTGTTTTGCATATTCTGAAATCACCTGTTTACTGTGATCTTATTGCATATATATATATATATATATATATATATATATATATATATATATATATATATATAATATATATATATATATAATATTATGTCGTACCGAATATGTAAAACTGGTCAGTTAGCAAGAACTCATTTAAAATTAAGTCCTTTCTAAAATTTTCTCTTATACGTTTAAAAATATATTTTTTTTCATTAATGTTAATGTAAAAATTTTAATTTTGAACCAAAAGAATCTTAGAAAACTTACCTAACCTTATTATAGCAAGAGCAATTTATTTTAGCCTAACCCAGCTAAATATATTTTAAATATGTTTACAATAACTTAGTACTAAACAAACACAATCAAATATATTTTTTTCGTTAGTTTCATAATGATTTTGGCGAAATTATTGCATTCACAAATTTTCACTTGTCCTACATGGCAAGATGAGCGTTGCTATTTAATCCAAGATGCAAGTTCTGCCTATTCGGCACGACACACACAACACACACACACACACACACACACACATATATATAATATATATATTATATATATATATATATATATAATATATATATATATATATATATATATAATAAATATATATATAAATGCTGTTAAGAGTTTTTATGAGGATAGTGAGGCTCAGGTTAGGGTGTGTAGAAGAGAGGGAGAATACTTCCCGGTAATAAAAGTAGGTCTTAGCAGGGATGTGTAATGTCACCATGGTTGTTTAATATATTTATAGCTGGGGTGTAAAAGAAGTAAATGCTAGGGGTTTGGGAGAGGGGTGGGATAAAATTATGGGAATCAAAATTCAAAATGGGAATTGACACAGTTACTTTTTGCTGATTGATACCGTGCTTTTGGGAGAATTTAAAGAAAAATTGCAAAGGTTAGTGGATGGTTTGGAGTGTGTATAAAGGTTAGAAATGTTGAAAGTGAACATAGAAAAGAGTAAGGCGATGAGGGTACAAATGTTTAGATAAAGAAAAAAATTGGATATCAATTGGGGAGGGGAGTAATGGAAGAAGTGATGTTTTCAGATACTTGGGAGTGACGTGTTGGCGGGATGGATTTATGAAGGATGAGGTTAATATTCCATTTTTTAGAATTGATGAGGGAAAAAAGGTTGAGTGGTGCGTTGAGGTATATGTGGAGTTAAAAAAAACGCTATTCTATGAGGCAATGAAGGGAATGTATGAAAGTATAGTAGTACCAAACACTCTTATATGGAGTGAAGCTTGGGTGGTTAAATGAGCAGCGAGGAGTCGGTTGGAGGGGCAGTGGGAGATGTACTGTTCTAAGGGCAATGTGTGGTGTAATATTATGCAGAAAATTCCGGAGTGTGGAAATTTAGGAGAAGGTGTGGAGTTAATAAAAGAATTAGTCAGAGGGCAGAAGAGGGGTTGTTGAGTGGTTTGGGTCATTTGAGAGAATGGATCAAAGTAGAATGACATGGAAAGCATATAAAATCAATAGGGGAGGAAGGAGGGGTAGGGGTCGTCCTCGAAAGGGTTTGGAGAGAGGGGGTAAAAGGAGGTTTTGTGGGCGAGGGGCTTGGACTTCCAGCAGGGTGCGTGAGCGTGTTAGATAGGTTGTGAATTGGAGACGAATGATACTTTGGGAACCTGACGATCTGTTTGAGTGTGGAGGGTATTATATAGGTGAAGGGATTCAGAGGAAAACCGATTGCCCTGAATCCCTTCACTATTACCTGCTCACACTCAGCAGCTCGTCAGGTTCCAAATAACCATTCGTCTCCATTCACTATCTAACACGCTCACGACCCTTGCTGGAAGTCCAAGCTCCTCGCCCACAAAAACCTCCTTTTATCCCCTCCCTCCAATCCTTTTCGTGGACGGATTCCTACCAGCCTCCTTCTTCCCTACAGATTTATTACGCTCTCCATTGTCATTCTATTTGATCCATTCTCTCTAAGTAACAAATACCTACAAAACAACCCTCTTCAGCCTTGACTAATACTTGTGTTAACTCCACCACCTTCTCCTAATTTCCACACTTCGATTTTCTGCATAATTATTTACACCACTATGCCCTTAGACAGGATATCTCCACCGCCTCCAACCGCCTCCTCGCTGCAGCGAGGAGGCGGTTGGAGACAGATAACGTTTTTTGTCTCCACATATACCTCAACGCACCACTCACCTTTTTTCCTTCATAAGTTCTGTGGTTAACCTCATCCTTTCCATAAATCATCCACTGAACGTCAATACCAAATATTTGAAGACATATCACTTCTTCCATACTCTTTCTCTCCAATTTGATATCCAATTTTTCTTTATCTAAATCACTTGATACCCTCATCACCTTACTCTTTTCTATGTTCACTTTCAACTTTTACCTTTACCACCTCTCCCAACAAACTCGTCCACTAACTTTTGCAACTTTTCTTTAGAATCTCCCTAAGCACAGTATCATCAGCAAAAAGTAACAGTGTCAAACTCCAAATTTTGTATTTGACTCCTATAATTTAATCCCCAAAAACCCCTTCTCCCGAACACCCTAGGCATTTACTTCTTTTACAACCCCATCTATAAATATATTAAAAAACCGGGTGACATAAATCCAAAAAATGCAAAAAAACTTCCCTACCTTTATCTAAATACTTTTCACATATATGCCAAATAAACACTTGATCTACACATCCCCAACCCACTCAAAAAACCCTCCTTGCTCGTCGCTCCTACTTTGTTTACCTCTAATTTTTCAAAATGCCCCACCTTACACTTTTCTGGTATATCAGTTACTTTTTCCCCCTATAATTTTTCCCAAATCTCTTTTGCCCCCCTTCTCTTTAAAAAAAAGGAATATACATGCCTTGCCAAATCCCTAGGTACATTCCCCCCTTTCTAATTTATTAAAAAAAAATACCAACCACCCCAACACTTTTCCCCCCTTTTTTAACATTTCGTCTTGTCCCTTTAGTTCAGCTCTTTTCCCCCCTTTCATTTTACGTAATGCCTCACGCCCCTCCCCCACATCAATCCTGCTCTTCTTCACTCCTAAAGATGGATACCCCCCGGCAGTGCATGAAATTTCCGCCCCCTTTCTTTCGTCGACATTTAAAAGTTCCCAAAAATTTCCCCGCCAATACCCAAACCTCCATTCCCCTTTAAAAACCCCCCTACTCTTTTTTTAATTGACAAATCCATTCGTTCCCTAGGCTTTCTTAACTCCAAATTTTTTCTTTTTTTCAAAAAATTTTTGACAGTCCCTTCCCCAACTCTATCATCTGCTCTCCTTTTGCACTCTTTCCCCACTTTTACCTTTCTTTTACTCTCCATATGCTCTGCTTTTCTTTAACACTTCTTTTGTAAAAACCTCTAAAAGCTCCCTTTTCTCTTTTATCACACTTTTTATTTCATCATTCACCAATCACTCCTTTTTCCTCCGCACCCACCCTCCTATAGCCACAACTTTTCCCCCACTTTTAAAATACTGCATTTTTAAAATATTTTTATTTTAATAATTATATATATATATATTATATATATATATATATTTATTATATTTTATATATCTTAGCCAAAGGATCTTCCATGAGGTATAACCCCTAATTGTTTTGCAGAATTTTTAGTCTAATTTTTGGGGGAAAAACTTCTGACCCGGATCTTGTCAATGATAACCGCTCTCAAACCCTGGTCGGGGCCCGAGACCTGCCCTGTCCAAATTTGAAAATAATTAGCTTACTTATATCGTTGGATGATTTTATTATAGAAGTTCAATCAAGACTCACCTGTGTCGCTGTGGGCAAAAGGCATAGGGTCGAAAAACCCTGGGGACGCACACCTCGTCTTTTCGGGGTTTCTCTCTCCCTGGCAGGGGAAAGGGCGGGGGTGGTCCCTTGGTGTGGGGTTTTAACACAAGTAAGTGAGCAGAGTCGATGGAGCCACCAGCAGCATCAGTGACGAGGGAAAAGCAACAAAGCATCAGGATGGTGGAAGAAACATCTCAGTGAGGGGTGGAAGCAACAAAAACGCATCGGTGATGATGTAAGTAGCAACGCTCAAAATAGTAGGGTGGAAGCAACAAATTCAGCGTCAGTGATGTAAAGGAAACAGCATAAACGCAGTGATGGTGGAAGCATCGTAACAGCAGCAGCATGATGGTGAACAGCATCAACAAAAAAAATTTTTTGTTTTAGAATAAGTGGTATTACAGTGAGACGATAGCGATTATAACGCTGAAAAATAAAAAAATAAAAAAGGGACACAATTTATTATTGTTTTTTATTTTATTATTATATTAGAGCCTTGAGCCAGTACCTTGGTAATGGGGAGGCCCTTGTACGGGGTGGGGCAGCCAGACAGGCACGCCCCCGAGGAGTCCCCCCAAAGGGTGGCTGTGCGGGGCCTCGTCATGTGGATCCTCTGTAGGTGTCTCTCAGCCACACCGGTCACAGCACACTGGAAGGGTTACCTGGACCCCAAGGGCCCACATTTAGTGTTTTCAGGACCAGCTGGTCCGGGAGAGCAAAGACTTTATTGAGATTATTAACGCCCCGAGGGTAAGTAACCCAGATAACCAAGGAAGCCCAAACAGTGTGTGGTTGTGTCCATTTGGAGCTCTTCGGGCCCCTTCCCCCGAATGGAAACATTTACCTGCCCCTTTTTTCCCGGACAAAAAAATCTAGGCGACATTGACGTAACATTTGATGGATTTAGTATATTGCCGCCCCATCACCAGCTTTGACTTTGCTGTCAATGACCATTAACACTTTGGCCATGACAAAATGGCCCTTTTAACCTCTGATGACCAGTTTTGACATTAAATACCTTATTATCAATGTTTTGTTCTAGTGTGACCTCTGATTTGGTATGAATAATTAATCACAGCTATGATCCAACATTTTCCTGACCTCTGACTCCATCGTTACCTTCAAAGTTTGGTTGCCAAACCCATTTTTTTTTTGTTAAACCTAGATTTCTGTAGTACATAACTATTATCTAACCACTGTAGTAAACATGGCAGCCCTCTTGGGTACTGGTTTGTACCACCTCACACACTGAGGTCCGGGGGTCAATCCCCGGTACGGTTGGAAACACTAGGACGTGTTTCCTTAAGACACCTGCTGTCCATGTTCATTATCAGTAAAATAGGTACCTGGGTGTTAGTCGACTATTGTGGGACAAAAATTTTACCCAAATTTTCGTGAAATGTTGCATAACAAGCGGCTTTCTAATTGTAGTATTCATTGAGTCAGCTATGGTTGTATACCTTGTACATGTACTTGTAGAAATAAAGATTATTTTACTTTCATCCCTGTTGGTACGAAAATACAAAAGGTGACATCTCTTACCCAAAAATGTTATTAGCAAATAAAAAGTTACTGAGAGGTAAAAAACCCTGAACAAAGTAGACCCGCGGGGGTTTTCAGTCTACAACAGTAGACCACGCGGAGTTACAGTTAAAAACAGTAGACCCGCGGGGTTATCAGTCTACAAAAAATGATCCCGTGGGGGTTTCAGTCACAACAGTGACCACGCGGGGGGTTTTCGTTACAACAGTAGACCAGCGGAGTTATCAGTCTCAAAAAGTAGATCCCCTGGGGTTTTCAGTCTACAACAGTGCCACGCGGGGGTTTCAGTCTACAACAGTTTGACACGCGGGGGTTATCAGTCTACAACAGTAGACCACGCGGGGGTTATCAGTCTACAACAGTAGACCCCGCGGAGTTATCAGTCTACAACAGTAGATCCCGTGGGGTTATCAGTCTACAACAGTAGACCCTGCGGAGTTATCAGTCTACACACCTCAGAGGTTCATTATCAGCTAAGATCAGTTATGCATCGTAAAATTCCAGATTCACCCATTTCTCCAGCAAACTGTTAACACTGGATGTTTCCTCCTGACGCAGCTGACTCCTGTCGCAGCTGAACCCTGACGCAGCTGACCCCCAGCCCCGGGAAACAGGTATCGTGTTTTCTCAGCAATGTAGTGTGACTGCAAACCTTACATGATCTTTCAACATAAACTATTATAATCATGGATAAGCACTGGGTCATAGAGCATAAGATTTTTTAGGTAATCGTGTACGATCCAAGGAAGGGAAAGGGTAGCCCCAGTTACTTAAATCAAAAGCCCTTCACCAGTATGAAGGGACCCTAGTCCTGTCAGTGTCTTCTACTGGAGTGTGCTTCATACTCCCCGTGATCCTTGATGACCCATACTTCACACTCCCCGATGACCATACTTCACACTCCCTGATGACCCTAGTCAACTCCTGATGAAACCTCGTCACACTCCCTGATGACCCCCTTAACTCCCCCGATGACCCATCTTCACACTCCCTGTGACCCCCATTTACATCCCCGATGACCATACTCAACTCCCCGTGACCCTACTCACCCTGATGACCCCCTACTTCACACTCCCCGATGACCCCACTTCAACTCCCTGATGACCATATAACTCCCTGTACCCCTACTTCACACTCCTGATGACCCATACTTCACACTCCCTGAGACCCCCTATTCACACTCCCTGATGACCCCTATTTTAACTCCCCCTTGACCCTACTTCCCTTTTCCTTTAACCCCTTTCATTTTAATCCCATGACCCTCTTAACTCCTGATGACCATGCCCCCTTTACATCCCCCGAGACCCCTTTCAATCCCTGAGGGCCCAACTTTATATTTTCCCGATGACCTATTTCATACTCCCTGATGACCCATACTTCATACTCCCTAATAACCAATGCACTAACCACTCATGTCGAGGAGAGAGAGCCCCATGATGGTGGTGCCCAGGGCACGCAGGTGCAGGCGACGCAGCTGGTTGTTCTGGAGGGTGAGCACTCGCAGGGCTCTCTGGCTGGAGAACGACCCTCCAGAGAGGCGGCACAAGTCATTGTCGTGGAGCTGTGGGAACACACGTCACATTTATCATGACCACACACACACACACCGATCTGCATATTCTTACTTAAGAAAACTGTTGATACGGTGTGTCCTTAGAAAACTACTTAACAAATTAAATAAGTAGGCAGAGTAAAAGGCAAGATATTAAGATGGATAAGAGCTCATCTAAGCAACATACTGTAAGTCAGTCACTATAAGGGATGAAATATCAGAGTGAGTTCGTTACTAGCAGAATGCTAAAAGGATCAGTGTTGGGATCCGCATTGTTCCCGGTGTATATTAATCTAGTTATAGGAGTTATCTCCTTTGTATTTGTGGATGATGCCAAAATGTTGAAGCTCTAAACTTTAGAGAATGAAAGAAGGCTGCAGGAAAGTCGTACCATTAAAACTGTTAGCCACTCTAGTTCATCGAAACTGGAATCTTTGATTTCCAGGATGTAATTCCAGCTAAGATCGAGGACATCAAGAGTGGGTAGCCTCTTCAGAGCGTCTTCTGGAATATCCTGGAAACCATTGCGGCTGAGGTTGAGGAATTTGATAGCGGGTAAGTTTTGGAAAGCCAGGGCGCCCATCTCCGTGATAGCGTTGTCCTGCAACTCTAAACTCCTGAGAGATGTCAGGTCTGTGAAAGCAAAGTCCTTGATTATGGCTATCTGGTTCTTGCTTAGCTGTAGCTCCTCTAAAGACGCCAAGGACTTGAAAGAATCAGGACTGAGCTCAACGAGATTGTTGTTCCTCATATCGAGCGTGATGAGGGAATCCAGGTTATGGAATGTTTCTGTTTCGAAAGCCTGGAGACCATTGTTATCAAATCTGAGAATATCAAGACTTGGAAGGTCAATGAAAGTATTGTTTTTAAGGGTAGTGATATAGTTATCACTCAGGAAGAGGCCTTGTAGAGAGGAAAGGCCCATTACTGCTTCCCCAAGCTCCGTCAAGGAGTTGTTGGTCAGGTCGAGGATCCTGAGACGCTTGACGTTTTCAAAAGTATGGTGGCCAAGGTCTGTAATGTAGTTATGGCTGATGTTGAGCTTCTCTAACATCTTCATGGTGGAGAACATGTCAGGGTGGAGGCTCTGGAGATAGTTAACGCTAAGATCAAGGTCCCTCAAGACAACCATGTCTCGGAAAGCTGTCTGACTTAGTACCTGAATGTGATTATTAGAGAGATCGAGGTGTTCGACCATGCGCAGGTCTTTGAGGTAGCCATCAAGAACTTGGTTAATGGCATTACGGTGGAGTTTGAGAACCTTGAGGGAGGAGAGCTTCCCCAGCGCTTCAGAGGGTAGTTCTTGCACCAAGTTAGCCGAAAGATCTAAATAGCGTAGTTTAGAATTGTCTTTAAAGGTTTCAGCGTTGATGGAAACAATTTGATTATGAGTAAGATGCAGAAATTCCAGAGAGGTGAGTCCAAGGAAGAGTCCTTCATCCAGAACCATTAGCTCATTGAAACTCAACTCCAGTTCAAAAAGCTCTTCAAGCCCTGCGAAGATATTACTGGGAAGATTTGTTATACTATTAAAAGACATGTTGAGATTTTTCATGTAGTTAGAGCTGCTGAAAGTGTTTTCTGCTATATCTGTGATCATGTTAAAGCTGAGGTCTAAACTGCTTAACAGAGGCAGCCCCTCCAACAGAAGGGCATCTACCTTCTTTATGTCATTGTGAGACAAGTCCAGAACTCTCAACATCGGCAGATCCCACACTGGTTCACTAAAGCCACTCTGGATGAAGTTATTGTTCAAGAAGAGCTCCCGTAAGTTGGGTAGGTCCTGGAATAACCCTTTTTGCAATCTTTTTATTTCATTGTGGTCGATTTTTAAGGCTTCTAATTTGAGATGTCCCTCGAAAACTCTTGGATTTTCTATTTTTAGATGATTTTTACTAACGTCAAGACTCTTAAGATTTGGAAGAGCACGTGCAATGTATCTCATTTCGGCCATGTATGTCAGATTGTTTCTAGCAATATTAAGGTGTTCCATAGTGAGAGACTCTGTGAAAATATCAGCGTGAAATTCATCCAGAAGATTTCCACTGAGGTCTATTCTCCGCAGCGAAGGAAGTCTGAAGAAGGCACCGCGCTCTATCTTTGATATCAAATTTTCCCTGAGGTATATCATTTGCACTGTCGGCATATCCACAAATGTACCTTTTGTGAGTCCAGTGATGAGGTTTCTGCTGATATCAAATATCTTCAGTTCTCTCAGTTCCCTGGCTGCGAGGACAGTCATGGGGGCATCAGAGAGCCGATTGCCCGCTAGTGACAGATGCTCCACGGTATTAAGAGTCCTAAAAGCTCGAGGGTGGATCCAGTCGATGGCATTATTAGAGAAGTTGACCTCCTTCAGATACACTAGTCCTTCTAGGGCATTAGCATCAATCTTTTTCAACTGGCTGTTGGCAATATGAACCTTTTTCATGTTGGGCATGAACCGGAAGGCAGCTGAAGGAATAGTTGACACCTTGGAGCCATCTATTTTCAGGAACTCTAACTTGGAAAGAGAGTAGAGTCTAGGGATCTGTACTATATTTGTATTTTCCAGCACGCAGGTCCGCAGGTTGGCCAGATTGTCGAGGGTGTCGAAGGGCAGGTCATAGAGGTCAGGCTCTGAGATGTAGAGGTGTTGGAGTGATGACTCAAGACCAGCGAAGGCATTGCGAGTTATGCCAACCATCTCGTTGTTAATGAGGAAAAGTTTATTGATCTGGTGGGAGAGAGAACCAAAAAGTCAATATAGCTGCAAAGTTAGTACAAAAAAAAAGAAAATAAGTCACACTACCACGGGTTGAAAAGCTCACTATTAATCTATAAAATGTGACTTCAGAATGGTCCAAGACTAATCGAAATGTCGTTTAAAGTTTCCTGTAAAAATTATAAGTTAATAGTGAATTAACAAATAAGGTTCCCAATTCTACAACATCTGTAATCATAGGCATCCAGACTCAAGAGCAACATAGCTCGTCACAGTGGGACCTACGAGGAAGCTGTGTAGAGGCTGTAAGAAGGCATTCACCTGTATGGAACCGAAGATTCTGCCTGGAAGGACAGGGATACGGTTGCTCACCAAGTGAAGCTCCTCCACCTTCAGCACGTGTTTCATCAGCGCCTCCATAGCCGACACCACCATCTCAATTTCACTGTTCTCACACCTGAGGGAGGTGATAGTAAAGATCAGGTGGTTACTGCATTCGTCAAGGACAATTAATTAACATCATTATCCAGGGGCCAGCACCGGTAAGGTAGCAATCTCTGCTTCCTTGGTCCCTCATAGGACTAGTGGCTATCCCACCGTCACATGTGTCCTTAAACGCTAATATTTTGCCACACCCCTGCCATAAGGCAGGTACCAATGAACTGGTCATATGACCGAAAAGAACATAGTGTCCTCTGATGAATAAGCAACACCTGACACGTGTGGTGGGAGCGTGGCAGAAAGCAACCCGCTGACATGCAGTGCTAACTGCTGCAGTGGCAGCAGTTAGCCTCATGACGGCCAAGGTAAAGCAACCACTGCCTTACCGGTCAGACTCATTGCTCCGTGGTGGAGAGTACTGTAAAGTGGTGACAGTGGTTAATAATATAAATTAATTTAGTAATTTCAGAAAGAACCTGATGTTTTATAATCTGCACATTAATAAACACTTCTGGATGAAATTTAATATTTAATTTCATTTATTAGAAAAAAAAATAAAATGTCTTACGTGATGTGAATCTCAGTCGCTCGTAGATGACACAGACATGGTAGTATGTCATCTTCCTGAGGACACACTGGCGCTGGCTGCCTGTGTACAGTTCTCCTTGCCGAGGGCAAGGCTGTGGCTCTCTCCTGCAGCAGTCCCAGTAGGAGGAAGACCAAGAATATACCACCAGTAGAAGACGCCATAGACAAACGCAGCTGTGACACTCTAAGCGACGCCATCACCACCTCCCCTCACACTCCCGCCAAATCTGAGTACAGGGCAAACACTGAGTACATGGTTCTTGTTAGGAAAAAATCAAAATGTTATTAAATAGCTGTATTTTTTCTTAAATTTACTACTACTACTACTACTACTACTACTACTAATAATAATAATAATAATAATAATAATAATAATAATAATAATTATTAATAATTAATATTATGATTACTGGACCTTGATTCTTTCTTATGTGAAGGTGTAAGTGTTTGAGAAAGGTAAATGAGGTATCTCTTGACGACTGCAATTATAGTTCTTTCACACTACCTACTTGTAATGAAGCTTTTCACTGGCCTCCATACATGAGGCTTCTCGTGTTTGTTGTCTGCACACACTTCTCACACTTCTAGCTCAGCACCCCTCATTACACGTCGTTCGCTATTTAACGCTTTTACTATGCATATTTTTTTCTGAGCGATGTATGTCGTATCAGTGTGAGGAGTCCTGTACAGTTCTCGTAGTATATTTTATGTTCAGTAATTTTTATACAGTATCAGCGTTTAATACACGTTTATAACATACCCGCGGGGATTGAACCCGCGGTCATAGTCTCAAACTCCCACCGTTCGCGTTAGCCACTAGACCTAGTATGTTGAGGCAGTGAGGACTGACAGAGATCGTCACGGCACGTAGCGGATTCGTCTGATAAAACTTGCATTTGGGTCACAGAGTGCTGTGCTAACTCCCATGTTAGAATATACCTAGTTGGATGAACTTATGATAGGCACTGGTTAGTGGACTAACGCGACGGCTGAGTTTTGAACTATGACCGCGGGTTCAATCCCGGCAGGGGTATGGTTTGTTTGCAATCGTGTCATTACGATTTCTTGAGACCGTTATTTAGCTTATGGGTTATATTCTTCTCTTACCTCTCTTTTTTCACTACTTGTATGACATCTGTATGACCTGAATAGACCTACACAGATACGTCCAATGAAAGCTTGTTTCATGGGAGTTATCTGTGTAGGTCTTTGTAGGTCATACAGGTCCCTTATACTCATCAACAACGAGCATTATAAATAACGGAAAATGGCACAATACCGTGTCTAGAAAAGACACAGGATAACCGGATAGGAGAGAGAGCTTATAGGGCGACACTTCGGTCTACTTGGACATTTACAACACTGTGGACTTGTGTGTGTAACTTGTAATGTCCAAATCGGAACCAAGCGTCTGGTAAGCCCTCACATGTGCGGGTTATTTGTGTAATGTAGATTTCACCAAGACAGGGAGAAGAAGAAGAAAGAAGAATGGAGACAGATAAGTATGTGAAAAGACGGAAAACATGGAGAGAAGGTATGAGGGGAAAGTGTGGGAAAGTAGAAAGGGAAGCTTGTCAGTTATGGGATGCTGAGGTCACCATGTGGAACGTCAAGCGCGCCACTCACAGTTGAATATCAATTAGAATAAGTAGACCAAGCACGAGAATCTTGACTTAATGATCTCAGTCAGATTAATGACTGGACCAAGCACACAAATCTCGCCTTAATGATCTCACTCAGATTAATAACTGGACCAAGCACACAAATCTCCCTAATGATCCAGAGATTAATGACTGGACCAAGCACACAAATCTCGCCTTAATAATCTCACTCAGATTAATAACTGGACCAAGCACACAAATCTCGCCCTAATGATCTCAGTCAGATTAATGACTGGACCAAGCACACAAATCTCGCCTTAATGATCTCACTCAGATTAATAACTGGACCAAGCACACAAATCTCGCCCTAATGATCTCAGTCAGATTAATGACTGGACCAAGCACACAAATCTCGCCTTAATGTTCTCAATCAGCACGTGAATCTCACCTTATGATTACCTTGTCCGACGAACAGAGACTAGTGTTGTCACAACTGGTGACTCACAGTTCAGTCTTCAGACGAGGTGAGACGTACACCTGTTGCCCCTGTTCACTTAGCTTTAAATAGATGCCTAAGAGTTAGGCTAGGTAAGTTCGTCAGGAAACAGGAGAGGTGTTTCCTGACGCGGGTCTTAGTCATACGATGACCTGCAGCTGGAGTTTTTGGTTATCTTACCGAGGCTTTCTGCTGGCTTTCCGGTCTGCACGTGATGGGTCAGTCATTTGGAACAATGGGCAGCGTTGAGGTCACTTTCCAGTTGCACAGAAACAAAAAATCAGTTACAACTATAATAGTAGTGAGAGAATTTTTACAGTGAAATATTGTAAAGGTGTGTCTGTGTCACCCGCCATGCATGTCTACCTTTTTCAGAATAAGAATTTAAGAGAGGCTAGCAACATGCACCTAGAATCCCTGAACTAGGGATTCCTGCATCTAGGATCCCTGCACCTACAATCCCGACTACAAGTGCCGTCGCTGAGGCCATATACAGCAAATACACAGATAACCCGCACATAGGAGAGAAGCTTACGGCGGTAGCACAGCGCGGGTTGACACCTGCCGCAGCCTCTCTGTGTGCCACCCGCCCTACTTACCAAGAGTCTACCTGGAGGGTATTCCGGGGATCAACGCCCCCGCGGTCTGGTCCATGACCAGGCCTCCTGGTAGATCAGGGCCTGATCAACGAGGCTGTGACTATTGGCCGCACGTAGTCCAACGTACGAACCACAGCCCGGCTGATCCGGCACTGACTTTAGGTCTCTGTCCAGCTCTCTCTTGAAGACAACCAGGGGTCTTTTGGTAATTCCCCTTATGGCTGGTGGGAGGCTGTTGAACAGTCTTGGGCCCTGGACACTTATTGTGTTTTCTCTTAGTGTACTAATGGCGCCCCTACTTTTCACTGGGGGTATGCTGCATCGCCTGCCAAGTCTTTTGCTTTCGTAGGGAGTGATTTCTGTGTGCAGATTAGGGACCAGCCCCTCCAGGATCTTCCATGTGTAGATTATGCTGTATCTCTCTCGCCTGTGCTCCAGTGAGTACAAGTCAAGCGCTTCCAAGCGTTCCCAGTAGTTAAAGTGTTTGATGGAACTTATATGTGCAGTAAAGGTTCTCTGTACATTCTCTAGATCTGCAATTTCACCTGCCTTGAATGGAGATGTTAATGTACAGCAGTATTTTAGGCTAGAGAGAACAAATGATTTAAAAAGGATCATCATTGGCTTGGCATCTCTTGTCTTGAATGTTCTCATTATCCATCCTATCAGTTTCCTCGCAGATGTGATAGTGGCACTGTTGTGATTCTTGAAAGTGAGATCCCCAGACATTACCCCTCCCAGGTCCCTCACATTATGTTTACGCTCTGTTGTATGATCAGAGTTTGTAGTATATTCATTTCTAATTATTATCTCCCAGTTTTCCATAACGGAGTACTTGGAATTTGTCTTCATTGAACATCATATTGTTTTCTGTTGCCCATTGGAAAACTTGGTTTATATCTTCTCGGAGGTTAACCTTGTCCTCTATAGATTACAGTTTCATGCAGCTCCTAGTATCGTCTGCAGAGGATGACACTGTGCTGTGGATTACATATCTGTCAGTGTCTGATGTGAGGATGAGGAACAGGAATGGGGCGAGTACTGTGCCTTGTGGAACAGAGCTTTTCACTATGGCACCTTCCGATTTAGATCTGTTTACTACTACTCTTCGTGTTCGACGATTGGTTAGAAAGTTGAAGATCTATCTGCCCACTTTGCTAGTTATTCCTTTGGCACGTATTTTGTGTGCTATTACGCCATGATCGCAATTGTCAAAAGCTTTTGCAAAGTCTGTGTATACTACATCTGCATTTTGTTTTTCTTCCAGTGCATCCAAGACCATATCATACATCTTGATATTTTTTTTTAATGTAAGGAATGCTGAGGACCCAGCCACCGTGTTTGAAATTGAAAGCCCAGAGCTATATCGGCTCGGCCACAGGACAATATGGTGAGATTCTCATGTCAGCTTAGGGGTTAACACACGACTGTCTGTTGTAAGCAAAGGGCGGCGCCGCCTTGTTGGCACCGTCACGTCATTGTGATGTTGCAATTCATGTTGGAAACATTAAATATAAAGTGAAATAGTGTAAAAGTTGATGTACTATAAATATTAGCGTAGTAGTTAATGGCATGGAAGCTGGCGGAAGATGGATCACTTTCATACTTGTCACTGCAAATGTATTTATCAATAAAAGTGGACTGAAAAATTAAAATTACGACATTGCATTACCTTCAAGGGTATCCACGACCTGTTCAGTGATGCCGACCTTATAGAAGGATCATACAAAACGGTATCTAAGCACTCCTGAAGGTGGGGTAGCTGATGGCTCTATGGCGAGTTACAGCAGCAGTGACCGTTGACTTACTGGTGTTGAACTCAGTAGTGTGAATGCTCTCACGGGGCTGAATGAACGAGACTGTTCGTGTGACTGATGGTGCAGCGACGTGACTCGGCAGAAATTCGTTGAAATCCAAGTTTAATGGACTGGATGACTGAATGGACAAGATAGATTGGGGATGTAGCATTGCAGAGCAGATCCATCAAGCTATGATGATGGTTGGATTATTAGGTTCTTTAGACTATGCAATGGTCATTAAGCATTCATGTCAGTTGTACACCACCACTCAGGACTTTAATCCCGAAAAAAGGCATTTCAACAAACTGAGCGTATATACATTGGAAGGAGAATTCCATGATGTGTGTTCAGTTGGTGGAGCATATGAGGGAACTACGCTATGTGAACTTCACTATGCATCAGTGAACATGTCTTCTGAATACATTGTTCGGATCACCTTAAGATTCCCTCCATCCCCGGAAAACAGTTAAATATAATTATGCAAATTTTGGATATGTCTATTTTTAATTTTACGCCAAAATTATCCTAGTAGCGCTAACTTTGTTACAATTTACGTAATATATGATTGATAAATTTACCTAATTTAACAGTGTTTAAAGGTTCAATTAACTGTTTCTGGGAACCTTCATGTGACCCCATTTTTAGAACCTGCAAAAGTTGGTGCTAGGTTTCAAGCCTGTCAGTTGCACGAGTTATCACAATATTTTACTTGTACACCATTATTTCAGGATA